TACCTTATAATAAGGCAAGACTATCTTATAGAGCGTTGCAAATTATAAGAGATGGGATTTCCCAAGGTGAATACCTCTTAAACGAAGAGATAGAGTACATTATCTTGGCTATGTAGATAAATGAATTTCGCTCTGAATGTGTAAACTTTTATCTATTTCTAATCAAAAAATTAAATAAAATAAAACTCTACGGTATTGACTGACCAAATTATCATCTAATGAAAGGCCCAACCGTATCACGTTGGTGCCTACGAAGAGTAGAACTTCAAAAAACGCAACGAGGACTACAATTTTCAATAGATGCGGTGAAGAATATTATTTGTCATTGTATGTCTTCTTCTTCTTCTAGTTCCTATCCGTTTCGGATGTTGGAAATCATATTGGCAATCATAACCTTGCTCGCTGCGGCTTGAAACAGCTCCGTTGAGGTTTTCTTAAACCATGTTCTTAAATTCCGCAGCCATGATATTCTCCTTCTACCGGGTCCTCGCTTACCTTTGACTTTACCTTGCAATATAGACTGTAGCAGAGAGTAACGGTGCTGATTTCTCATAACGTGTCCCAGATATTGCAATTTTATGCGTTTGATCGTAAACACAATCTCTGGTTCCTTCTTCATTTTTCCTAGAACTTCCTTGATCGTGATCCTTGCTGTCCATGATATTCTCAGCATTCTTCTATAAAGCCACATCTCAAATGCTTCAAGTTTTTTAATAGTGGCGTCTGTAAGCGTCCATGCCTCCGCCCCGTACAACAACACAGAGAAAACATAGCATCTCAAATGTCTCATTTTTGTATCAAGGGATATGTTGTGACTTTTGAAGATGGCGCTCATTTTGTTAAAGACCGTTCTTGCCTTTCCTATGCGGCACTTTATTTCCTGTAAATTGCTCCACTGTTCGTTAATAATAGTTCCCAGGTAACAATACTGTTTTACTCGCTCTATCTGCGTCCCATTAATGTATATATGAGCCCCATTTATATTCTCCTTGCTGATAATCATTTCTTTCGTTTTGTGGGTATTAATGTTTAGTCCGTACTGTTGACTGTACTCGTTTATTCTGTCCATTAGCCTCTGAAGTCCCTCTAAACTATCTGCTATCACCATGGTGTCGTCGGCATATCTAACATTGTTTACTCTTTCACCATTTAGAAGGATGCCTTCGTCTATTCCGTAAAGAGCCTCGTTAAAAATTTTCTCTGAGTACATATTAAATATCAACGGCGATAGGATACATCCCTGTCTAACTCCACGTAGTATTTTTTATGTGATCTGTTTCTTCTCCGTTAATTTTCATGTATGCGGTCTGATTCCAGTAGAGTTCTGAAATTATTCTGAGGTCTTTGTCATCCAGGTCTGCCTCTTTTAAAATTTTTATCATCTTTTGATGTTGAACTGTGTCAAATGCCTTTTCGTAGTCGATCAAGCACGCGTATACGTCGCAGTTAACGTCCCTGCATCTTTGAATCAGTACCTGTACTCCAAAAAGTGCCTTTCTGGTACCCACTGCGTTAATAAAGCCGAACTGTCTGTCCGATATTTGTTCCTCGCACTTCTTATAAATTCTTCCATGGATGACTCTAAGAAACAGTTTCAACATGTGGCTCATTAGGCTGATTGTTCGATATTCTTCGCACTTTTTAGCCCTCTGTTTTTTAGGTATCGCTATGAATTCTGATTCTAGCCATTTATCAGGGATGATTCCTGTATTGTAAATTTTATTGAAGACAGCCGTGATCCAAATTATTCCTTCTTCCTCCAAGAGTTTTAAAAATTCAGCTTCGATATTATCAGGCCCTACAGCTTTCCTGCTTTTCATCCGTTTTATTGCTTCTTCTACCTCGGATTTAAGTATGTCCGGGCCCGTCATCCTCTCTGAAAATGGATGCCTATAATCCGTTCTTTGATCTTGAAAAAGTGTCTCCAAATATATTCTCCATCTGTCTTTTATCTCTTGGGTGTCAATGATTAATTTTCCATTGGTGTCTATGAGTTTCATTTGTGTTCGCTTTTTAAAAGTACCCGTTATTTCTTTTACCTTTTTGTGTACATTAAAGTTGTCATGCTTGGCTTGTAGTCTTTCTATTTCTTTACATTTCTCTACAGCTTCTTTTTCTTTAGCTTCTCTTATTTTTCTTCTGATGTAAGCCTGCATTTTTTTATACTCATCCTTATTTCCTTTAATTAACCTTCTGCGTTCCATTAAATGAAGGATTTCTGGAGTCATCCAAGATTTCTTCTTTGTTTCTTTGTTTGGTTTTAGCAGATCTTGTTTAGTTTTCTTAATTATTTCTTCGAATTGATTGATTTCTCGTTGGATGTTATCTTCTTCTTTTAGTTGTTTAACTTGGTTGTTAATATATTCCCTCACTTGCTTTTTAACTTCCGGATGTTGCAGGGCTGTCATGTCGTAGTTAGGTCTAGACTTTTTCTTTATTGTCTTCAGTCTCACATCCATGACTCCCACTAAAGGTATGTGGTCAGATTCAATGTCCGCTCCTGGATATGTTTTGACAGATTTAAAACTGTTTCTGAATCTTCTAAAGCTGTTTCTAAATCATTGTATGTCAGAAAAGACTATATACTTAACAAAGCGCCAGCAAATTTCTTTGACGAATTCCAGTGAAATTAATCATTATTATTTGTGTCTGAATGAAAACTGTTATTACTGAAAATTTTCTGATGAATACTCTAAGACCTAGTAATGAGAGGCGAACTCTGAATTAGTGTCTATTCTATTCTACTCTAGAATATAGAAATATTTCTTCAACGTTGAGTTCCCAAAAAAAAATCTTTATTTCGAAATAAAAAGTTTAAAATTTTGAGAAATACTACAAACTACTACATAATGATTTAAACTTGACTATTGAAACATAATAATTACAATAATAATAAAAATATTGATTTCTTCCTTTTTATAACATCGGACGTTGGAATCTGCTGAGTCTTATTAGTAGGGGAGGTCGTGGCTACATTTCTCCTCCCTCCATTGGTTGGGACTTCGTCCTCGAAGTTTTGATTACTTCAGCTATCAGCTCGTCCAATATCTGGATCTGGGCAGGATGCAATTTTTCTCCAAATAGGATTTTGGAAATTCGTTTTCTTTTCCTAATTAGGGAAGATTATTAGGACAGCTAAAATAGTTAAAAATATATAACAGAAGTGGTGCTCAGTCCTATTGATAATCGGGGTAGTACGCCTATGGTATCTAGTGGTTGAATTGGACCATGTGTCTTTGGGATTGTTAATTTCTCGATTTTCATCTCATGGTTTGGTATTAATTTTGTTGGAACAATTTTTGGAATGGAAATGTCTTGTGACGTCTTTGTATTCAATTGGACACCTTCAATCATTATTGGTACATCTGTCGTCAAGAGGCTGGTTGAATTAATTTCCATCTGCTGGATTTTCATCGGGTGAACTATTCCTAGCAATATAACTTTGCTGGTCTCTTGGAAAAAGTTCTCTGTGATTAATGTGTCTGTGCAATTATCTACATTGGGTATGTTACATTTGGATTGTACATAGTTGGAACAGACTATGTTATCGCCTGGTCCTATACAAGTGTCAAACCATTTATTTTTTGTGGTGGTAGGTGGCAGAATCATAACATGATCTTTGTTTGGAATGGGGTAGATTTTATAGGTAGTATAAGGAATTTCATGGAGTATAGGGATTTTAATTATTATGACCATTGTATTTGAAGTTACACAAACTAAAGTTTTTGTTGACTCTAAGTTCATAAGGGTGTTCATTACTATTGGGGATTGAAAATCTGGGATAAATTTTGAGGTTTTCTTTAAGGTCTATTATTTCCTTTAAAGTGAATAATTCTATATTAGAGATATTTATTTAGTTCAGATAAAGTAATGGTTCTAATAAATTTCATTAGAAATTCGTTTATATTTTGGAGATTGATTATCTTATTGTGTAGAATGATACTTGCAGAAATAGCTCCAGATGAAGAAGCAATTTGGTTTTAAATAGATGGATGCCCTGCGCACAATAACGGGGAGTTTAAAGAATTCCTTTAAAACCGCTTTAATAATTGTTTGATTGGAGCTAACTGTAACATTAAGTGGCCTCTGAGATCGGGAGATCTAGCTACAAACGAATATTTTATCTAGAGGCATCTAAAATCAAAAATCCATTATGAGCAAAAATTTACAGATGTTGAAGCATAAAAATGGAAATTATTGAAGAGTGTGCAAAAATAATGCCAGGTGTTCTGGCTAATCTTAGACGAGAATTTTATAATCGATTAGGATACTGTTTAGTACAACATGGCGGATTTTTTGAACATTTATTATAGTTTTATATTTAGAAATTATCATAAATTATTTTTAGGAATAAGGATCACAATAAAACTATATAGAAATTCTTTGAATTGTTGTATATCCTGGAATTGAATTGGAGTGTATTAGAATATCTTACGTTAAATAAAGATTTGGCAGTGCTCGCAGTATTTCCTGAATACAATATTATTGCGATTTTTTGTCAACTGAGTACATTTCATTAACTTTATTGCTTTGTAAACAATATAATGTATTGTTTACAAAGTAATATTTATTGTTCAGTAGTAGTAATAGTATTTAGTAAAATTTATTGCTTATAATTTAATAATAAAATAAAAATATTGATAATTTAAATATTGTCAAACATCTTACATTAATATGACCAAACGCAACACGTCATACACATTTTTACACTACGTGTGGCCTGACTTTTAGGGGTGGCTTGAAAAAGTATTATATTTTTGCAAAATTTTGGAGTACGTTTAATTATTAGAACAATTTTAACATTTGTTTTTAATACATATTTTAGTCCTCTACAATTAGTTTCTTATGACTTTTGATGTAAAATAATTAGGGAACTCTGGAATTCAACAATTTAGAATTTCCCATTGAGTTTCCTATGGCCCGTTGGACGATTCACCGCACTGTAATAAAACTCGCTTAAAATTTGAAATAAAAAAATTAACAATGATAATTTTTTACAGTTTTTGAAAGAAGAACTGAAGTACAACTCGGGAGCGGAGAAGAGGCAGAAAAATTTTCACCGAAACGACGACTACCACATTTCTGTCAAAGAACTATGGGAAGCGTGGCTGAAATCGGAAGTCCACAATTGGACTGTGGAGCAAACTACGGATTGGTTGACGACTTGTGTGGAGTTACCGCAATACGTCCCCAAATTCATCGAACATAGAGTTACTGGTGCTAATTTACCAAGGTAAGATGATAATAATCTTATTTACTTATTTATTTATTTATTTTATTAGTAAATCCAAAAGTATTGTCAAGTTTAGACTTAGTTTAACTATATTTCATATTGTTCTCACAATATTTGCAATACATACATTTATAATCTCCTAGATTTATATTGAGTGTTTTCTTATAATTATTGTGCTATTTCTCTAATTTTTGTTTTTGTTTCCACTTTCGTTTTGATTCTGACTTGACCTCGCCCGATTAGTCAGGTTTCTGAGATTAGTTCCGTAACATAAACCGCCGCAACTGATGCAATGGGTGCGAGAGCTTCCAATCGCGAATTGTCCTGAGTTATGCCCACAATTTGTTGAAAAGCTCCCTTTTATCAGTGTTCCAGTATTAATTGAATATAACTTTTTTAGAGACATGGCAACGTCGCAATTAAACTAAAACCTGGATACACTCAGGTTTTGAGACTTTGAGACTCTATAATAATATCATGTTCTGGATACTTTTATAAATTTATTATCCGCTGTTTTTAACGTATTTACAGGTAGAAAATAGGTATAGCTTGTCTCAAAATATATCGTGCCATTATTAATAGATAAACATGTTTTAAATTTCTACCTGACTTCTCAGGGTTGAATCAGGTATGGCTAATGTTAAGGGAATTAAAATTAATAGGTAGTATCAGTCACTAAGAATCTGTACTTGCTACTGTGTGTATAGTATATTAGTGATGTTTGTTCGTAACAAATATGTTTCGTCCGTGGGAAAATAATCGCCCGACATCTACTAAATAATCGAAAGAATTTGTCATTAGATGCAAAATAAATAGTTAAAAAACTGTATGATACTTTAATAGATATAGTCCTAATCATAGAAGATGATGTGAAAGAAACATGTTTACGTTTAAAAACGCCATTATCCTTGATAAATGATATTATAAGCAACGAACCATTGGCAGAACTAAAAAAATGTAGTGATTTTCAGTCTCATTATTTGGACAGTACTCAACAAGATATTATAAAAAGAACAATATATTCTCTTTATGAAAATCAGATAGTTCAAAGGTAGATAAAGTTAAATTGAAGTTACAGAAAGAAGAAAGAAATATAGATATAAGTCGTGACATCCTCCATAGAGTCATTTCTAAAATGGGTTTTTAAGTATATACAAAAAAGCAATAGTAATGGAATCACACACACACTGCGCACTTTAAGAATTGAGTATTTCTCTGAAATTAGGAAGTATGTGTTAGAAAACAAATCTATTATTATATCTGCATGTTTCTCAAAAGCACCTTCAAATAAAGGAAAACGCATAACAATAATTCACGCCGTTGCGAAAGACGGGTGGGTTGTAAGTTGTTTGCTATTATCTGCGAAGAATATCAAAGACCAGCTTAGACTATCATGAAGATACCAGTGCAGAACTTTTTGAAAATTGATTTCAAAATTCTTTTTTGAAAAATATTCCTGAAAATAGTGTAATGGTCATGGATAACGCAAACTACCATAGTGGTGCTCTATTGCTATATGTTACTGAAAACCTGTTATTCAAAACACTTACGTCTTGGATTATTTCTTTTCGATTTTTGTTTCGTCGGACTGAAGGACGAAATCGATCATAACATTTAAATTCCTCGAAACTTTTCATTAAAACTATAATATAACACGTTAATCTCACATTATGTTCGTATTTTTCGGCTTTCGAAGTAATTTTTAGCCATATAAATTTTCCAAGCGTTCATATTCCATCACAGGAGAAGCAAATATCAGTAGAAATCTTGATTTATTGCCGCAAATATTTGTAGGTTACGAGTAGTCTGTAATATTTAATTTCAAACTGGTTTAGAAAAAAAAAGTATTAGTTTGAAGAGAAATATTTATGTTGGTGAGTGCTTTTTTACTAGTGGGTGGTTTTTTAGCGTTTCTTTCTTAGTGATAAAGTAGACCGTCATTGATCTGATCTGAATCATGTGTTATGTAATTTGGTAAATATTTTATCGAGCTTAGAAACTAAGATATTGGACTGTTTTATTGAATTTACATCAAATGTATAATCGTTTTACGTTTCTTGAACGTTCTTAACAGCAATGTTCTTTATCTCCAGTCTAGTTCTGTTAAATTTCTGTATACTCGGTTTGAAAATTATTGATAGCACAAATTTTTATGACACAAGTGATAACCCATAATTTAATGTCATAAACCAATGACGAAGAATATACCACATTTATGTGCAATACCTCTGAGGCGTTGCTTCTGGTTTAAATCTCTAAAACTTGCTCAGTTGCATTTTATGATTTATTCTTCTATGTTGCATATAATCTACTGTAATAAAAACTGTGCTATCGTACATTTCTAAATTATACTGATCGTTTTTGATTGTTCATACAACTTCATGTTTCGTGTCGTATTTATTCTCTTGTAATTGTCGCACGCTTGTTGTGTTTTGGTGGAAATATATTTTGTGTAAGCTTTTTTCTTTTCTTTACGTTTTTCCTTCACTTATGTGCAGAACCATGTAGTGTTTCGCCATGGGAACGATTTATTTTTAATTATCTTTCATTCGCCAAATACTTTCTTAGCTACCTAAAATAATAACTTATGCACAGCTTTCTATGACTTTAATATCTTTTTTGGAATAGATACCTTTTTGAATAATTAATTATATTAGCTCCCAGACAACCTTTGTAGAGTATTGAGGCACGTTCTGAAGTATATGGGTGCATCAGAAGCCCCGTTAGCTTGGAAAATCCAATTACCATTTCAAGCAGAACAAAAATGAAGTTGGAACACAAAAATACTCACAGACAAGCAGGCCATCGAAATGTAAGAATCCCATATAAATTTCATTAAGAAATATACTTTGGAACCATCGATAAATCTGGATCCTATGACCCCATCAAGAGTTAGATTAACCAATACTCTACTAACTTTATCGTGTCCGGACATGTCATTCATAAAATTTCAGCCCAGTATCGGGCTACGCCGCTTCCATTTTTGTTGGTAGCCACAAATCTTCGAGGGTACATATATGAGGTCAGTTTCTGCATGTAAGAAAATGTTCCATATTCTGTGTTTTTCCACAGTCGCAATTCACATCATCTTTGCCGATTTTTTCCCATTTTGCCATGTTTGATTTTTCTGGAGCAATCCCGTTCTTATCCTATTCATAGTTTTCCACGTTTTAAAGTCTAGGGACAGGCCAGTCCATTGAACCTGGTGAAGAGGAAAATACTCAGGCGGTCCATCCTGCACTGTTCCAAGGAAGCTCTTCCTATGCACTAAGCACTTACAATGGAAATGAAGTCACATTGCCCATTCCTCGGTTACCTCGGAATTACGCTAGATAGAACATTGAGATACAAGCAGCTTAGTATATTGAAAATACTAAGCTAAGATCCAAACTAGAAATAACGTGCTACAAAGGCTAACATCATCCAGATGGGGAGCTAATCCAATTGTATTGCGAACAACAACGCTACCACTTTATCTATCAACAGCAGAATATGTCTGCTCGTTTGGGAGCGATCAAAAAACACTTCTTATTAACATAGATAGTGTAATAAACAAGACGTGCCAACTGATTACCGGCTGCCTGAAACCAACAAGAGTTGTACACATCTACTCACTGTCAAGAATCGCTCCCCCATTTATAAGACAGAAAACGCACGGCTTGGCAGAACGAACTAAACACAACGACCATCGTATCCCCTATTCGGCCAAAATCCTGGACTTAAATGTAGAAGATCATTCTTGTTCTTGACTGGGTTTACAACTCGGGGTTTTTTCTGGGACGACGTACTGATCTTCTACCGTCTGGTCTCTCAAAAAACACTGTCTTTAGCACTCTGCCTTCCTCTGATCTTACCAACTGACCTGCCCATCTGCCCAGAATCTGTTGCTTATAGCTACTTGATAATCCAGTTCTTTATTTGGTGTTTGAAGACGGTCTATGTCCCACCTTTCTCTTTGTTCTTTTTGCTCCAGGTTCTGTACTGATATTCGTGCTCTTAACTTAGATTTTACCAGAAAGTGATGACCATCGCTGTCCACTCCTCTCATACTTCGCGAATTAATAATGCTACCAGAGTGTCTTGTGTCAATGACAGCATGATCTACTTGGTTGCGTATTCTATCATTTGAAACCCAAATTGGGTAGATTTAAACATCATGTTCTTAGATATTGCTAATTGTGTTAGCCAGTGTCTATTATAATTTGTTGTATCGTGTAGGCTACTTTTACCAATTACGTCTATTAAATAGCCTTCCTTGTCTAGTTTCTTCTTCTTCTTCACTGCCTTTACAAATCGGGGTGTCTTCGCCGCATCCACTATCGCTCCCATCCTCTACGATCTTTCGCTTCTATTTCCCATTCTTGTACCCAAATTCTAGATAAATCGGCTTCAACATCATCCTTCCATCTTTTTCTCGGTCGGCCTACTGATCTTCTACCATCTGGTCTTTTAAAAAACGCTGTCTTTAACACTCTCTCATCCTCTGATCGTACCACGTGACCTGCCCATCTTATTCGGTTTGCCTTGATATGTCTAACTATGTTTTCAGTTCCATACAGAGTCACCAATTCAGCATTGTGGCGTCTTCTCCAATCCCCTGTGAATTTATCTCTTGAGGGCTAAATATTCTGAGAACCTTTCTTTCAAATACTAGAAGCTTATTGATTTCCCGCTGGTTGAGAGTCCATGTTTTACTGCCATATGTGATAATTGGGCGAATAATCGACTTGTACAGTGTTAATTTAGATTTTGTTTTTAGCATTTCGATCTTAATAATGTTGAAAGGGAGTATAATGCTGTATTTCCTGCAGACATCCTTACTGATCCTTTTTTTTATGTGGTTGTCAGCTGTGATTATCGCCCCCTTTTATGATTTAAACTCCTTTACTACTTCGAAATTGTGATCATTAATACTGATGTTCTGCCTAACTCTTGGTCTTGGATTTTTGGTTACTACCATGTATTCCGTCTTTCGGAGACCCAGACTACCTGTTTCTTCC